ATTATTAGTTAGACTTTGCATATCTCCTGTCCTTTTGTACTTTGGGCCCCAGTGAACTAACTCACTTTAGAAAATTATATGAAGAATTGGAAATGAAGAATGAATTCCTATGTCACTTAAGTGGCAAACAAAATTTTAAAAAATCAGGCCAGATCTGGTGGCACATGTCTTGTAATCCCAGGATTCTGGGAGGCTGAGGCAGGAGGATCACAAGTTTGAACCCACCCTAGGCAGCTTAGTAACTTAGTGAAACCTGTCTCAAATGAAAAATTAAAGGGCCCTAGGTCAGTGAGAAATGTCCTAGGTTTAATCTCTAGTGCTGGAAAGAAAAAAAAGGGGGGGCACTGGGGATGTAACTCAGTGGTAGAGCATGTACTTAGCGTGCATGAGTCCTGGGTTCAATCCCTAGCACCAAAAACAAAACAAAAAAAACTGGTAATAATCTGTGAATTATTTCCTTCTGACTGCATCATTTTAACAGCATAGTCTTTAATTCTTCCAACAACAAACAACGTAGGTACAGTACTCTTATTTCCCTCGTTTTGGAGAAGACATCGATGTTTATAGAAAGGTTAACTCAGGTAGTCACATGCCTGGGGCTCACTTGTTATTTGATCACATACTGGCACATCACCGTTCGACCTTTGCTTGTTCATATAAACTGTTTTTTGTTTGTTTTACTGGTACAGGGGCATCTAACTCAGGACCTTGTGCTTGCGTGGCAAGTGTGGTGCCACTGAGCTAAATCCCAGGCCAGGTTTTCTAATGCAGTCTGCAGTTCTGGCTCCATCTAGCTGTCTGTACTAAAGAAGGATAAGGAAAACTGTGACTTGCTTTCCAATGCCACACCTGAGTCACAGTAAGCCATCTAAAATCTGTTATCAACCAGTCTTTTTGGGTTGGTTCTTTTGCTCATGATATACTACTCTTGGTATATGTTGTTACAATTGCTTTGGTAAAATGTTTTAAAAATTGATATTCATAGGCACATTGTGTTTTTTTTTCTTTTAATTTAATATCTATTTTCATTAAATGTACAAATAAAATTAAAAAATTGATTTCATCTGGAGGGAGATTTGTCTTTGAAGGGATTTTTCTCAAATTTCTAAAAATTTTATTTTATCCCATCCCCTCAAGCCCCCTACCCTATGTACAAAAGCTGTTTGCATTTTGAAGATTTTTATTGCTTGAATCATTAAATTTATTGTCATGAACTTACTATTTATCATTTTCACTTCAGTAGAATCTGTAGTTCTGTCTCCTCTAACACTCCTAATGTTGGTACCTTTTGTTTCTATTCTAGTTAACCTAGCTGCAGCTTTTATCCAGTTCTATTGCTTTATTTAAGAGAATTTTGGGCTTTGATTTTTCTTTCACTGTAAAATTTTCTTTCCTGAGTTCCATTTTGATCTCCTTTATGCTTAGATTTCACTTGTTATTCCAGTTTCTTTGAGGTAGGTGAGGTGATTTCTTCCTTTCTCCTCTTCCTTTTTCATCTTCTTTTCCCCCTCTAAGCATAACTTTTGATTTGTACAATTTTCATTTAATTCAAAATGTTAATTTTGACTTGTGAAAGTTTGAAGTTTTCAAATATTTGAGGATTTTCTAATATTTCTGGATAATCCTAATTTCATTGTGTTCAGAGAAATATTACTTAAGTCCTTTAAAATTCATTTAGGCCTGTGCAACTGTTGGGCAATGCTCTATAAATGTCAATGAAATCAAGGTGACCTATAGTTGTCCAAACTGAATCTTCACACTTTTTTTTTTTTTTTTTGGTACCAGAGATTCAACTCGGGTGTTTGTGCTCACAAGGCAGTCAGTGGAACCACTGGGCTAAATCCCCAGCCCTGAGTCTTCACATTTTCTTATTGTTCCATCAAATATTGGTCAAAGTGTAGTTTTATTTCATAATTTTTGAATTTGTGTAATTATGTGTGTAAACTTTTAGCAGTCTTCCTGAAGTGACCCATTTATCATTATGAAATGACCTTCTTTAATCCTTATTTACCCTAATATATCCACTTTTTTTTCATTAGTGTTAACGTTAGACTTTCTTCAATTCTTTTAGGGTAGGCAGCATAAACAGTTGTATATTTTTTTGCTACTACCACAAAATATTTGACAATTTCTATAGGACAGGAATTTCTTTCTCACAGTTTGGAGTCCAAAAAGTCACGACAAGCATGTTCAGTAGTCTGTCTTCCCAGGGTGCAAGCATGCTGTCATCCTTTACCCCAAGGCTGGGAGAAGCCTTCTGATTTCATTACTTGCTGGAAGGTCCTCCTCTCAAGTAATCACCACGTTGGCAACACCTGTATTCTAGTGGGGACAGTGTCACATCTTAGCAATGGACTTTTTTAATCCCGACAATCTCTTTTAATGGATTAAGCCACGAATATCTCATATTCTGATGTGGTTGGATTTAAACCTGTCATCTTGAATTTGTTTTGTTTGCTGGGGTTTTTGTTGTTGTTGTGGGAAGGTAATATTCCTCTACTCCTTAGTGCAGATCTACTTTATGTAATTGGTGTTCTGAGTATGATTTTTTTCAAGAAAAGGGTTCTTGAAAAATATTTGCAAAGAACAGCAAACAGGCAATGAGTAGAAAAATATCACAACTAAACCCCAGAAATATTCACTGTCAGGCACCACAGAAGATCTTTAGTCCTTGGACTTCTCCTTTGTGACTAAAAGGCACCATTTACACAGGGACCACACAGGTCAGAGCCCAAGCTGCAAACCACACCCTGAGCCTGGATGGTAGGGGTTACAGGAGACCAAAGAGCCAGGGAGTGCCAGTCCCTAATGTCCAGGTGCACCCTCAACACAATCCAGTTGTTCTTACAAGAGAACAGCAGAGTTCTGAGACAGATTCACATGATGCATGTAACCAGACACGAGGGATGCCCGGCTGACTCGAGGCTGGGAACGGCAAGCGGCACTGTCCCCTAGCACAGCAGAGGGCACCTCAGTTTCAACCCAGTGATGTTTCTCTGCACTTCTGGTTCTCAGAACTGTGGCAGGGTCCATTTCTGTTGTTTTAAGCCATCAGATTTGTAACAACTTGTTACTGCAATGGAACTTGTGGCAATCCTTCTGCCTCAGCCTCCCAAGGGCTGGGCAAAGTTCTCTATTAACCTATTTCTCATTTTCCCTCAAGTCTTATGTGTTTAAATTGTACATTTAATCACTCTCTACTTCAGGATATTACAACATGGGTAGCAAAGTCTATAGGAAAATGGGAAGACATTTAAGAGGCCAAAAGCTGGTTTAATCCATTTATAAATTGGAGGCACAGGCCTCAGTCTACCTGTGGGGTATACTTCAGAAATTTAAATCCTAATCCCAATTACTGAGTACATTTAAGCTGGTAGTTCATAGTTGAAGTTTTGAGTCAACACTGAGCAGCAAGTGTTGAAATTGAATTGAAAGCTTTTTATCTCCTCCCCAGAAATGTAGAGGGGATAAACAAAAGGAGTTATCTATATTGGAAGTGTTAGACAAAATTTTTATAAAGGTAAAATCCCCATCACTGACAGCTGCAATGCAGAATTAACCCTCTCTTCCGTATTTCCACGTTGCATGGCCTTTACATTTCAACTGTGAAGACAAAATTCCAGTTTTGATTTCTGCTTTGACTCCAGCTCAACCCCTACTCCCAAACCAGACTTTTCTTGCGCCACGCTGCTTGCTGTTACTCAGATGTCTGATGCTTATCTCAGCTGCACCCACACTTGGGGTCTCCCCCAGACCCACTCTTCCCACAGTGCTTTCAACTGTGATCAGCTGCTCGAGCCAAGAACTGTCATGTGATCCACCTTCGTTCCCATCTCATGGACCTTATCATCTGGATTCAGTCAGCAAATGTTAGTGGGATCCTTTGAAATACAGAATCCAACAGCTTCTCACTACCGTCCTATCCCTGTCGCCGTCAGGATGGTACTTGCAGCCTTATTCCAGTCAGCTTCTGACCCAGATCCCTGTAGCCTGGTCTGAAGGAGGCGCTGTAAGCCTCCCAGCAGAGGAACAGCAGCCCCACCTCTGATCAGACAGGAACACCTGTGAGCCCACCTTGCTGCAAACCCAACTTAGCTTGGACTCTTTTCCCCTTTCCTTGATTTACTTTTTCTTTCTACTACTAACAATACATTTGACATTTTGCTTTCTCTCCCCAGCAAGACTACAAGCTCTCCAAGGGCAAAGACTTGTCTCCCTGCTGTAGGACCTAAAACAATTTGACACAGTCAAGTAAGTGTTGAAAACCAACAACAACAACAACACAAAACCTTATTACTCTCCGAGCCACCCTCTCCTGTTACTGAAGGATCATTAAAGTCACACAAAAGTTCTCGGGTTGAAAATAAAAGCAAAAGACCACTACACATTAGTTTGTCAACATTAATGCCCTGGGTTTATTTTGTGAGAATTCTATCACAATTTTTCCAGGTGGGATTAAAAACTTTTAAGGATAATGTATGCCATTGGACTGGGCATTCAGACTTCGGTACTGACAAAGCACTAGTAGTAGTCTGTTAAGTACCATTCTCTTCACAGAAGAGAGGTCAAATATTTCCAAAGGAAGGCACCCGATATTTGTGGTTCTGGCCTTGCAGCCTTCTGGAGAATCTTAAAAGGAAAAAAGCTGGCTGGCTGTTTTTAAAAACTGGAATGATGATACACGTACAGCAATTACTGCATTCTTCTCCCTTATATCCTTTTTATAAGAACAAGTAAAGAATGAAGTCTTTTAAACAATTCGACAATAAAAAAAGTACAATTTTTTTGTGCTAAAAAAAGGGCAAGACAACATAAACTCCAGTTGTAAGGACTCCATTGCATACTTGATTTAACACTTTTTGGTGTGGAAGGAAATGGGACTACTGGGCTGTTGTAGAGCAGCAACATAACATTAGTGCTTTAAGTACCAGAAAACACCCACATCTCAGTGGGCAAGTGGGGATGGGAAGATTCAAGAGACTTCATTTTTAGCTTGTTACTTGTCCTAATGATAGACCAGGAAGATCCCCATTTAACAGTACATTCCCCATTTTAAAAAACTGATGCCTTTTTTTTTGTAAAGTTCTGTATGTATGTCACCATTTTTTTTTCACATGATACACAGAAAACTCAAGGACCCAGAGGGGGAACCAAGTTATGTTATACCATTTACAAAATACCAAGGAGTCCACAGCTACCTAACACATTTACTACAGCACAGGAACCAATGAAGGTACAGTGTACAAAAAACTGTAAACACGGCACAATAAATAGATAAAACAGCAGGTTCCGCACCATGCACATGATGTGATGACACTTCATCTCTATACAATCTCACATCTCACACTCTTTGTTGCAATTTATTTCCCTCCCACCCCCCACCCCCAAGTGCAAAGCATCACAAATGAACATTTCTGTATTCAAGTAACATATATACAAGGGTATTACAAATATGCAGTACTGTACAGATAATTGCTGTATTAATTTACAGATGTTGATTTTTTTCCTATTAACAGTAAGAAAAGAAAAATTGAAGCATGAGAGATGAGCATTGCTGTGAAGTCCCCACAGCTGCCACCGAAACGCGTATGTTGCATTCCATCATCCCTTGCATTCAAAATGCTACTGATGCATAGCACCTAATCAAGTCCCCAGGCTGCACTCCGCTCCCGAGGAAGCTACGTCACCTCCATCGCTACTGTATTGTCGGCTATGTTGTTCAGCGCTGGCTTTTCTGATTCGTGATTTTCCCTGTTGAAATAAAGTTTAACTGATTAAGCAAATGAAAAACGTCTTAATAAAAAGTTTACTTTTGAGACCAGGGATTTGTCTCAGTGGTTCCGCCGCCTGCCTTGCAAGCACAAAGTCCTGAGTTCTATCCCTGGTACCACAAAAAACAAACAAACTAAAAAGTTTACTTTTAAGGCCAGGAAGACTCTGGGATGAAAGGGCACGTAGAGGAGTATGACCCCGTTTGGCTTGTTTTCTGATTCGTTTATGAACCAAAGTCAAGTACAAATCTTAGATGCTACAAACACAATTCCTAATTTTTGACAATTACTTCAATTTCCTCCTACATGAAAGCTTTTAGAAGGGTTTCATCTAGGTACAAATATGACTGAAGTTTACCTAGGACTTTCAAGTCAGGGCCTCGGAAGGGGAGTGCAACAGCTCCTGAACACAGGCTCCAGTTTCTAAGTGCAACATGTCTTTAGAAAAGTAACTTTCCTCCCATCTGTTTCCTCTCTTAAACAAAGCGTCAGGGATAGACAATATTGCAAATCCTGAAAATGCTCTACTACCACACAGTTCTACAGCAAAAGAAAAATGTTGATGCTGCACACACAAGTCAGAACTCTAGCGGGTTGATCAGCTATGACTAGACCCAGTGAGAAGAGACTGTTACCGGGCAGACCATGACTCCGGCTCAAGTTCAGAAGCAGAAAGGCTGAGCTACAATCCATTCTATACCACTCTGCTCTCTTCTCTGGGCCAGTCCTGCCTGAATCTAAGTGTTGTGGCATCCCCCGCTGTTTCAAGTACCAGCCTTCCCAACTGGCTACGAAAACCAGTTTACTATTGACCGCTAGACACGTACACTTCCCCAACGTTGTGTTTCCATTTTGCTCATTCCACTTGCCTGAAATGCTTTTTCGTTCTCCTCTTTGCCCAACCAAATTCTACCCCAGGTCAAATATTACTCTGTAAACCATCCCCAGCATTTTCCTTGTGTTGAAATGACAGAGATCATCTGTACACTTAACTCGACAAGCAGAAAATGCTTTAAGATACCTCAAACTATTTTCATCAGATATCTGCAGTATTTTAACATTAATTTTTCATTTTTAAGCTTATTACTATTTTGGTACTAGAGATTGAACTCGGGACCCTGATGTGCGAGGCAGGCGGTGGCACCACTGAGCTAAATCCCCGCCCTTAAACTTATTTTCCAACGAAACTAAAACCGCTGGTTTTTTCCTTTGTTTCTCTCCTTTTATCTTTTAGACAGTAGGACTTTAATTACCATTTAAAACGAGCCTGAGCAAAAATTCTACTCCAATCTATTGAAACATAAGTGAGCACAAAAAAGAATGGTTTAAAAGCTGACCTGGTATGAATACTGTAATGTCTTTATTTACATTAGTAAGAGCAGCTTGGCATACCAGTAAATGGCAGCTTCTACCAATTTTAACTATTTACACAAGCAGTGATAGAAAAAATTATGAGCAGATATTCTTTAAAGAGGACTCCTTCCTTTCATGTGAAGGTAGAAAAAAAAAGAATGTACTATTTTCATGCTAAGAAATACTTGAATCTTATATTCAATATTCACTATACCATTTGGTTCAAATTCTCAACTAAGACTGAATTATAACATTCATTTACGTAGGTCTTAAATCAGGAATCTATTTCTATGCTTTTAGTAATAGAGAGAAGCAGGGATCAGTGGCACAAGCCTGTAATCCCAGATTCTTGGAGGTTAAAGCAGGGTCAAGTTTAAGGCCAACCTACGCAACTTAGACCCGGTCTCAGAAAATAAAAAGGGCTGGGGTTGTTGCTCAGTGGTGCAGTGTTTGCAAGGTCATAGGTTTGACCCTCAGAACTGGGAAGGGGGGGATAAAAAAAAAGCAAAGAAAAAAATATATATATACACACAGAGAAATACAGAGCAGTAATAGATTTAAGTTGTCATAATAGTTCAAACATTTCAGGCTTAACTACTCACCTTGGAACTGAATCTACCGAGGATGAAGACGGGACCTTAGAGACTTGACAGTTTGCTGTGGCAGCCAGCTTTAAGGCAGATGATGGAACAGCACTTAAAGTCCTAGGTATATGTCGAGCATTCATTGGGGCAATAGAGTTTACAGTGGCAACTGATGATGGTACAGTTAATCGAATGTTGTTCCCAAACAGAACCTGAGTTGTCGCAGAATTGGCAGCAGTTACTTGATGACTCAGGGCACTGTGGGAACTTGAAGTCTGTGTAATATTCGAAGGCTGTAACAAAGGTGAACCTGCTGTGGATGGACTTGTATGTACAAGTGCTGTTGGCGTAGTACTACTGAGGTGTAAGCTCTTGTATACTCCTGGAGAGAAAAGAAGGAAGTGTCTAAACAATGTGCAACTTTGCAGTTTGTATTACACAAATATATAAACACACGTTTATTGTATACAATCTCATCATACGGAAACATGATCACAGTAATTTAAATGTCTTTCTCCTTACCTGAGGCTGGAAGGACGCCATTCACCCCAATTCCAAGCACCACATCATCCTTCATCTTGAATCCCATCAGTTGTTCTGATGTCATCAAAGCAGAAGCAGCAAATTGAGCACTAGCAGAATCCAAAGTCTTAGAAACAAAACCCTAAAAAAGAAATACAGAACCTAACTAGTATAATTTACTCTCAAGTGAACGTTAAAGCTACACAGGTTAACCAAAAATCAGCTTGGGTGTAAATGAAAATGGCAAAGCAATGAACTCTCTCCATCTCTCCCCACAGTCAGTCATGGAGGGAGGAGAACGATTTGAATTGAGGGTTAGGGGTTTTGGTCGTCATGCGTGATGACATACAATGTGTACACATCAGTTACCAAAATAGGCCTTTTATGTGGAGATTACAAATGTCCAATATAAAATGTTGGGCAAGAAATATGCTAGCAAAAACATTTCAGTGATTTGCAAATACAATGAATACATACATGTTCACCTAACCTACACATACTCCCAAACCCAAAGGCACCTTTGGGGTAACAAGATCACTATCTCTTAAGAATGGAAATAACAAAATAAGACATCATAATCTATCCTAGAAAAGGACAAGCCTCTCAAATTTTTAAAAATAAATTTTTCCTGCAAGAACCTTGAAGACTCAACTCTCAGCTTTTAAACTCTAAATGTGAAATGTGTCTAAATGGCAAATATTTGCCATGCATTAGATGACACATGATCTCTTTCAAGGATAAAAGAGGCTATTCTAGTGTAATCCTTTCTAAGTGATAATTAAAATGCCTAAGGGTAATGAACTTCAGGGGTTATAAATTAAAGAGGTACATTAACAGACTACAGGCTAGACTGCAGACAGCATCTTCATTTCATTCAACTATGCTTTTTAGATTTCTTTTAAAATAGGGAGCAGAGGAACAGCTTCCATACTCACCTGTAATGTTCTTTCTAAAACCTGTATATTCAGGCGAAAGGCACTTTTTTGCTGGTTAGATGCAAGGTTCTATGACAACAGTTGGTAATTAGAGATGAACTCTGGTGGGAAACAATGAGGGATAATCATAAGACAGACAAATCCCTCACCTGTGAAGTGTTGGTGGAGGAATTACTATTTGCTTGCTGTTGCTGTATTTGTGCAAGCTGCTGTTTCTGCATTAGTGCCAGTTGCTGTTGATGTTGCTGGTATTGTTCGGCTGTAAATGCTGAACATAAAATGAGTGAACACTTTAAAAAAATGCACAGATATCACTTACATCTTATAATACTAAAACAAGTCCCACATTAAAAAACTTTGTGCAAAATTAAAGCATTTGATAAGCCTCATGATCCTGCTAAAGATCACTCCCAAGTGAAAATTTCAGCACTTCTGCTACCACATTTAACCAAAGTGGCTTCAATTTAAAGAAAATGAAAATGAAGCTCTCTAAATTAAAAATAGGAAAGAGAACTGCTCACTTCCCAAGTTTCAACACCATTATTTTGGTAAAGCTGCGACACTTGTGCTAGACAGTGTAGGAAAATAGTTATCAGCTTTTTAATCCACAGATTTGGAATTCAATTTTGCACTGAGCTTGAGAAGAAATTCAGTAATTACCACTTGGTTTCATTTTATCCATTTTATCTTTCCAATGCATTCAGATGATTCCTAATAGTTCTGTGTACAAATACTACTCTGTATTTTCCACTTTTAGTCATTACAAAGATTTCCTCAGTATGAGAGATAAAGTTGCTGGTTTATTGCCTTTTTTAAAAAGACCTCATCCTTCATAAATTTAACAGGAAGAAAAAAGGCTCCAATGTTAAGGTCAATTAATTTTCCCCACCCAATTAACCCACCTGGAAAAAATCCAGTCAATAAGAACGGAGTTGTTTATGTTGATTTACTGTACAGAATGATGTCTGAGGAAAGACACTGTGTTATGCTACTTATGTTTGTCTATGGAGAGCTCAGTTCTAAAAAAAACAAACAAAAAAATGTTCATTTATTACCCCCTCAAAAGTGTGTGCAGTTAAAAAAAGGAAACCTTTTTTTCCTTTTGCCAATTTAAAAAAAGAAAAAAAAAATAGCACATACAATCACAATACATCTGACTTTAAAGGCTTCTTTAAGAAGCCTGTGATGTCTGAGTTAGAATTACTTTAAAACAAAAAGATTATCATGCATCCCTGGATGCCAGGGAATCTATAAATCATGCAAGTTTCCTCAATCTAAAGTTTGATGTTTTCAAAATATTGTCAGCCCATCTGTTGCTTAACTACCAATACTTTTTAGTTAAAATACTTCATCAAGTTTTATAATTTTTACTTTTAATTATCTCCCATGGTACTGTTTCTGCCTGGTACAAGTACAAAATATTTAGGTAGCAAATTCCACTATATTTTGAATAGATCAGAAAATCGTGAAATAATATTCAGCAAAGCCTAAGTTGTTAGTACCTACACAAGCTCTTATACTTGAGCTCAACTAAGTTCTTGGATTGTAAGAGCAAAAAACTAATTTATTGGAAAAATATACTAATGATCTGCTAATGTGTGTACCGCAAACTTGTTTAACTGGTACCTGTCTTTTGATGAGTTCCTTTTGTTACTGTTATTGTTTGTAATCCACAGACCTAATATTAGGACGGTATTACTAATATTAGGAGATGATCCCTGAACAATGAAATAAAAGTAAATTTCTGTTTCCATGGCCATTTTCATGTAACAGAAATGTGTTGGGTCAAAACATTTAAGAAAATCTTCAAAAATGAACCCTGCTCTGTGACAAGTTCAAAATTAGCCCAATATTTACCTTATGGGTAAAAAAATTAAACATTTAAACATTAAGATCTTTGATTCATTAGCTATTTTGACTGGTAAAGTTGAATGTCTCACCACACCCTTGACTTTTCTAAGTAGGGAATACTCAGTAAATTTTTAAAAAATGGAACATTTTTTCAAAGTGAGTCAAATTTAATAGAAACTATAATTCGGCATTCGTACGAGTGAAGAATTTTTTGGTAGAATTTTGGTGGTGTGGTTTGATTTAAAATGTAGTTATTATTACTGGATATCAATTTTAAATAAAATTCCAAATATGTCTGCTGTACTTAACATCTTAGTATTATGACTCCCTGAGAGTCTGGTTAATTTCGTTTTTTAACAAATGTTAACTTCCTCCGAAAATAAATTTGAAATAAAAGTTCAATTAACATTTAAGTCACTATTCAACATTTGTATCACAATGTTTAGTTTCAACTGGCCTGTTTTTTAGAAGTTGCTATTATGCCTCTGAAGTCCAGTGATGAAATTTCACCTGAGTACTTTGGTAAACGATTTGAAACAGTGATGGCAAACCGTTTAGGGTTTTCAATGACACACACAGCCCACTGTGGCACTGTGGTCTGCCACCACCGGTCTACAAGAACCAGAACGCCACATAAAACAGCTGTGAGGGTAATAAAAGCTGGAGGTTGGAGGCTGACACCCTGACATTTTAGGCCTCAGCTCTATCATAAACAGCCAAACACTGGGGCTGGGGGACTTAGATCAGTGGTTCCCCCACCTTCCTTGCAAGTGCAAAGTCCTGAGTTTGATGCCTGGCACTAAAACAAACAAACAGCCAAATATTCTTGAGCAAGTTATTTAACCTTTTGAGACTTAGTATCTTTACTTAAATGTGAAAGATTAAACCATGTGATCAGGCCTTTTCTCAGGTATGAGGCACTAATATTTTTAAAAATTCCTTCAAAATATCAGATTCTAATCCAAAAGAAGAGTGTGTCAATGATTCAAGAAAGGCTGGATTAGACAGTAACTGGGGAAATACAATCTGGACTGAGTGTTATTATTTATATAGAAAATAGCGGTAAGGTTATGATACCACTATAATTAAAAAGTACAATCACACATTAAATGCAAGACAAAAATGATCACACCTCTCTAAATCTCTGAATGGACCCACATATCAAGGCACAAAGTTCTTGTTAAAATCTACCTCCAGATATGGGGTGATAGTCAAATTTGTAATTAATTCATGATGGGCAAGCTGTTACAGACAGATGACCAGTCTAGAATAGAACCATCACCCAGAATTAAACAAGTAAACTGAGAAAAGGAGTGATTCTTAGTGATTTCCCTCTATAACTTCATACTAGAGATAAAAAACTTCCATATGAAGTCACAGATATTCAGTAATAAAGGGGGGAATCAATGAGATACTGTACTTTTAAATTTAAAAAATCTATTTTAAGCTTACATTTATAAGAAACAATCAGGTTTTTATGTATTCACATTATCAGTCATCTGACAATCTTTAAAAACCCTCAAATACAGAACACCGGATAAACAAGGGTTTAAATAGGGGGCAGGAGTCAAGTGCAGATATGACTGAAAGCAGAGAACATTCAAGGGAACTGGGGCCAGGAAAGGAAGCATGACAGGACTTTCAACATGCGAAGGATAGTATGACGCTGGATAACAAGTATACGTAGTACGCTTCCTCAGGTAAAACACAAACGTGGAAGTTTAAATTTAAGGAGGCAGCTTTCTTTTTTGTTACCGGGGATCAAACTTGGGACCTTGTGCTTGTGAGGCAGGCGGTGGCGGCACCACTGAGCTAAATCCCTGGCCCAGAGGGTAGCTTTTTTTGTGGGGGGGGGGTGGGTACGGGGATTGAACTCGGGTCCTTGTGCTTGCAAGGCAGGCCACTGAACCACTGAGCTAAATCCCCGGCCCTGAAGGTAGCTTTTAAAAGATTGAATATATAGAAATCTTTCTAACCAAGATCCCCAAATTTAGAGAAACGCAAATTAGAAATTTCTTTGAGCTCTTTTAAGTTCAAAGGAAGAGCTTTAATGTAGAAAGAAGGTAACTAAATAAATACAAAGTTTAAAGATGAATCCATGTAGTTCCTAACTAGTGAGCTTGAACTCATAGGGTTCACCAGCCCTTATGAGTCACCTAGAAATCCAATTTGAAAACCAAAGTGTGTTCTCACTCTTCTGGCCATGGAGGACGTGAGTGTCAGATTATCTGTGGTCAGGGAGCAATGCTTACTCTTGCATTCCAGTACTCAACTGCAGAAATGCTAGCAAGCTACTATAGATGCAGCTCTGGACTCCACTAGATGTGATGTGATAAATCCACTTTCTGCACTGAAACGTTCTCCACTTTTAAATATTTAAGTAAAGATTAAAGTCCTGAAGATTTACAATATTAACAATTAAAATGTCCACTGCTCAAATTTAATTTCCTTTTCCACACTAAGAATAAAATCAAGTTACAAACTAAATTGCATTAAGTTATACAAATACAAACTTCGGACACATTCTTAGCCACAGATCTTCTATTCACTAATGGTAATAAATCAAGTCTTTAGCACATCTATGTGAGCTTAGAAAAATGACTTCCAATGCTGATGACACATCATTGTGATTTAAAAACCATTTTCTTTTTTCAGTCTTTCTGAATATCAAGGACTCTTACATGTAAGTCCTTTCTAATTATGAAAAGGTATTAATACTGTTATTTGACATCCCCCAACTCGGGCATACTCATTCAGTCAACAAATGCTAAGGTTTCAAAGGTGTTAATGTGGATTTTTTTAAATTCAAAAACTGCACCTGGAAACTGGTGAAATCACATTGTTAACTAAAAATCATTAAAAAGAAAGTTTATCCTTTAGTGTGAAAATCTAGTCCATGCAGAAGGTCTTTCCAAGGTCCTCAGCACTGTTCTTTTGCTGCACAGAAGCCAACTCAGTAACCAGCACCGGCTGAGGCTACCTGGGACTCCTCAGGACACACTTCTGGTTACACAACTTTGCACAACGGCCAAACTCAGGCGCAACCAAAAATGACTTTGAGCACTTAGAACAGAGGCTATAAAAATGAATTAAAATTCATGCAATTTACTAAAATGAACATTCCTGGCATTTTCAGGTAGAATATACTATTTTAAAATGAGAGGAAGACCTCACACATGATTATTTAGAAAAAGAAGTCAGCCCACAGGGCATAGCTAGGTTACTTTTAAGTATAAATTTTTTATAACAATTGAATAACAACAAAATGGCTACATTGTAACCCATATATTTGGTTTAAGCAGCAGAGAAGATCAAGTGACTTGTATCTGATATACTGGTTAAATCAATATAGTCAAAATTAACCCTTAAAAACACCTCTGGAGAGGGAAACCCGTAGTTCAATCAACCTGATGTAGCCAATGTTGCCTTTGTTATCACACCACACATGGGATTCTCTGGTCTAAGTACTAGATGGAGAAGTTTGGTTTATATTTGGGGGCCATGTTATATGAAAAAACAATTTATACCACAATAATAATGAGAGTAGTGAGATGCTTAAAGTATGAATGAAATAAAAGCAGTCAGGGCCGAGGAAGTAGCTCAGTGGTGCCGTACCTGCCTGATAAGCACAAGGTCCTGAGTTTGAATCCCAGTATGGGGAGGGGTGGTGAGGGAGCAGACAGGGACACTGTAATAAAACAACGAAGAAGTTCAACTTCTCCCATACTAGGTTCATTTTGAAGAACACATGCTTTCAGGAGAAATTTATTTAAGATGCTGTGCAATATGTGAACAGCTAAATTTTCTTTTTTTCTCCAGGGACCTATAGTTGAACTCACTTAAGTTAAATGCACATATGATATGACTATACTGAAATGTGCAGGACATAAAGAGAAAAGCTTTAGTCTCTGGGACATTCACAGATATAAAAGTAGTGTTACACTAGGCATCTATTTACAAAGTATATAGAAAAATCTAGCAAAATTTAAGAGAAAAATAAAAACTAAGTGCAACAGAAAAAGCTTGTAAGCCCACATTTTAAAAAGTGTATACAGAAGAAAAGGAAATGATTAAGAAGAAAAATTACAAGGCTTACCAAAGATTTTTTTTTCCAATTACCTTTTGGTAATGGTCACCTTTCAGTACTCTTTGGTGAACAAATCATGGAAGTTTTACAACTGATACTGATATGCCTACGTAGGTAGTACAGCGAAAACCAATTTACATTAATAAGGACCACAGTAACACCCTCGGGGCAGTTACAGGCTTCCACTTCCCCACACGGGGCGCAGAGAGGATGCAGATTGATGGAACATAGTTGTTTTTCGAGAATCCCCAATTTTACACAGCTTAAAAAGCTTACTTATCAAGAAAAACCATTCCAAGTTTATACTTTTAAAGCCTTCACACTCACACAGTGTAAGTCTTTATACTGAAAAATTCTCCATTTTGACTTTTAAGACTCTGAAGCAGAGAAACCAGCTTTTGGAGATAAAGACAGTAATATTAATGGAATTACTAATAATCTGTTAGGCCTCAGAAAAACTGATTATCTCCCAGCTGCTCATTCTTGAAGTATGACTATTTTTCTCTTAAGCTGAAAGATTTTATTTCAGAGAAGTATTTTTCTGTAACCACCCAAGTAATTCATTTATGCCGTATTTTCTGTAGCCCTTTAAAAGCAAAATTTCCTATTTATAAAGTGGTTTATCTGTAACCTTAACAGCTGATTATGGAAACAATAAATACTCTGAGAATACTTTCAAAAATCTGTTACCTTAAAAAAACCTGTAATAACAAACTTCACCAATGAATTTCTATAATCTATATGCCTCAAATAGTATACACTTATAAAACAGAAAACTTAAAAAGAGCATTTATTGTACATTCACAATGTAAATGTAATAAATTAGATGTTCTCTAAAAAGTGTTATCTCTCTGAAAATTTAACTTTCTCTTATACATTATTCTGAATTATGGTGTCCGCATGTAAATTATGCAAACTTACTGACTTTATTCTCTGTATTTAAGCAGATTAGATAAGAGACTGGACATGTTCAAGTATAAAACAATTAACAATGTAGGGTCCATTTTTTTTTTTGTATTGCTTGAAAATGTAGGGCCGGGGATTTAGCTCAGCGGTTCGGTGGTCTGCCTTGCAAGCTCAAGGACCTGAGTTCAATCCCCGGTACAAAAAAAAAAAGAAAAAAAAAGAAAAAAGAAAATGTAACTGATGAATTTTCATGAACTGCACACCCAGGAAATAAACATCACGTATTAAATAGTACAAAAACCACTTCTGTATGTGGATATATTTAAATGAAGACACATAAATAAAAACTCATATAGCAGTAGTATTACTGAAGAGTATCTGTATGAAAAGTACTTTTAGCCACAAATATAACAAACCACACACTTAAAAACAAAATGGAGAAGCCCAGTAATGCTATAGGAATATGCGCCACAAACAAACATACCAAAGTGTGTTGAACCGCTGCTACTTTTACTTTGCGTAGAGGTACTGCATGTCTGGGTCCCGGGTTGTGCTGTGCCTGTCCGATTTATACTCCTATACAATTTCCTACTGGACAGTTCATCATTGTCACTGTCATGCAGCGATGGTGTCCGAGGCCTAAAATGCCGCCATCTACATGATTTGATATTGACTAGTATCTGACTGAGGTCTTTAGAGAAAGATTTGTCCGAGGTATTTGTTTCTGAGGTATTGGCAAACTGATTGACTGGAGAATGTTGTGGTGAGGAAATCATTTCCAAATCCAGATGGCGAAATATACTGTCATAGTCTGAATGAGCTCTGTCCAGTAAGACCCTATTAAAAATGAGACAAAACACTCATTAAAATGGCTATTCAAAGATTAAATAAAAAAGATTTTTCTTTCCCAACCTCTGAAATGGAATAAAGGATAATGAATATTTAAAAGTGATAAAGTTGATTCTTTTACTTTTGGGCTTTTTTAGGCCAAAATTTCAATTTCTGATGAAGGTTCTTTTTAAAAAAAAAAAAAAAAAATCAATTTACTTTTCAACCATTGTATTTTAACTTTGTTTTTAATGTGTTCTGCAATTTAGAGTATGAAGGAGTTCTATCATACACAGGAAGAACAACAATCTTGACAAAGCAGGACGTCAAAACTGGGTCACGCATAACTTACTACACTATTTAATGTGACAGCTGTAGGTCTAACTTAATCCTTTCCCTTACAAGGCAACCTTTTTGGGGGTAGTTTCTTTAACCTGTGTATGCTAACATGATTTGTTAGCATACATTTAATTGCATTTTTAAGCATTGCATCCCTTGGAAATTTATCTGAGGTTTTCAGTCTTGGAGAGAAAAGCAAAGCCAATCTATCTGGGACCTATTAACAGTTGTACATTGTGTGTTGAGGCTGTTTAAGAAGCAAGTAGCAAAGGGGCAAATTAGTTAAGAACAGCAAACAGGAATCAATATCTTGGTTAAGCCAATCTATCTGGGACCTATTAACAGTTGTACATTGTGTGTTGAGGCTGTTTAAGAAGCAAGTAGCAAAGGGGCAAATTAGTTAAGAACAGCAAACAGGAATCAATATCTTGGTTAAACTTAACCTAATCACTCCACTGATTGAAATATCCCCATGGTAGGAATAGAGAGAGAAATATTTTACCTTCCCCCGCGCCCAACCCGTCTTCGTGCAAATCCAATACACCTTTGGGGCACGGTGAGAGTAGTTAAGCAGTATCGGTATCGCACATCCCCTAATCCTCCATCTTTAGGACTAGTCCAAGGCCAGTTGCCTGTTTGGTCTAAGTGAGGCTTAAAAAAAAAAAATCCAAAAAGCATTATTTTATTTTGCAGATAATAGCAAATAAGTCTATTTACAAAGAAAGTCTAAAACTTACAGCATAGTACTGACAGCCTGCTTTCCTACGGAAAGCAAAAGGACCATCAGGATCATTCTCTTCCTCAGCTTCCGAAGAGCCAGACAAAACCTTTAATAAAACAAATGAAAAAGGTCAAATGTGTGGCTTCCTCCTCCTCCTCTACATTCATACAGGCATTTGCATATGTACCTGGGAGAGAGGTTCTTCATCTGAGCTGGGAAAGTCATACTGATTTAAATCTTTAGCATTGAAGACTGGCAGTGCAGCAGGACTCGTCTGTTGAGGAGTAGCAGCAGCAGACGATGGTAGGACTTTGGGCTTCTTTTCATATTTCCGTTTCGGTCGGATAATATCAGCTTTATCTTGCTGCAACAAAGACATCAATCAATTATACACCAGAAACCGTGTTCTACAAACTAACCTAGATGAACATTTTTCAGGAAGCTGTAATTTCACTGCCTTTATTTCTCTTAGGTTTCCCTTCACTAATTTTATTTTCCTTCACCCATTTTATTCTTCACAATTTGTGGACTATTTGGCCACAGAAGAATTTGTCAAAATATTTCCATTTCTAAAACACTACCTATATTACAAACTATTAAAATCAGATGCTTAAATTACCCCCTTATGTTTTTATTCCACTTATACACTAATATGCTCACAAACGACAAGATAAACTCATATTATCAAGAAGGACTTCAAGTCCTGCTCCCTAATCTTACATATTGTTTAAATTATTTCAATAGCCCATAATCCCACAACTATTAAAATATTCCTTTTTTATCAAAGTAATAAAATCTTCCTTCTGTAAGATACGGAAATAACAAATAAAAATAGAAAAATGTCTGCATTTCTATATAACATACCAATGTCATCTCAGTTTTCCATCATACTTCATGGTAGGTCTTATACGTATTTAACTCTCATTCTGATGATAAAGTACTACCTCACTATCAGATACTGTTGTCACAAAAGCTTTAATCACCTTATTGACTTTAAACTCCTTCACATCCATCACTTCCTGATGTTTAAACTGACTGCTATTAGTAATAGGGATGATGGGGACGGCGTAAGTAGGTTTCATCGGCTGCCTCTGAGCCATGACCTCAGACATGATCTCTCCACCGTAGTCACCCAGATTATACCTGAAATTTAAAAGAAGAACGTTTGAAAGTGCACATATCTGAAGCCTGTAACGTGACGTTTGATTGTGACTGTTATGTATTGTGAAAGGACCAACACAATCGAGCACACACATCCATCTCCTCAGCCTGTGTATGGTGAGATTATTTAAAATGTACTTTTTTAGCAAATTTCAAACTTCAACATTGTCACCCAGAGTATACAGTCTGTCTCCAGTTACTCATTTTATAACTGTTTATATCCTTTGATCATTACACAAAAAGTTTTTATCTGTAAAGCCTGAGTTTTTCAGTTTTGTAAATGTGTGTCCATATAACCATTAATAACTGAATAGAATATGATTATGATATAAATTAAACATTAAGGTTACTGTTAAACCATAACTATTTGTGGATATCTATTAAAATTAAAGATTCATTCCTTTCCTTTCTTCTTTTTACTTTTTTGGCTCATAGTTGTATCTTGGCACATAATGACTATAGGGAAAAAAAATAAATTTGGTGACAGACTTGGCGGAGAAGCTGGAATTAATGCCTAAAGTGGTGCAGAGGATCTCCACTGTTTAGAACTGCCTGAAAGGAATCACAAGAGATTTAATAGTGACGTGTCTCTACGGACAGGAGCTCAGAGGGAGAGCAGCGAGGGCTGAGGGTTCACTGTGTACAGTACTAAATGATTAAGTGTTAAAATGTATGGGCCTTTCCTCCTTCTTTCATACTTTTCTATTTTAAAAAAACCTATGGTTGCTGGGTGTGTTGGCATATGCCTATAAGCCCTGCCACTTGGGAGGCTGAAGCAGGAGGATCACAAGTTCAAGGGAAGCCCGGGAAACTTAGTGAGACTCTGTCAAAAACTTAACAAAGGCTGGGGATGCAGCTCAGGGGCAGAGTACCCTCGTTAGATCCCCACTATGGGGAGGGCAGGATCTAATAACAAGTAAGACAAAAGCTTTAGAACTGATGAATGTTCTCTATTTCATGGCCCTGTACACAACTCAAATAAGAACAAACTAAAATGGAAATACTTGACATATTTTACTGTAAGTGCCATCACTTTTAAAGAAAATAAAGACAGAAATGCATGTAATAGTACTTGAAGTATATTACCACAACCAAACTTAAACAGTCTGTAATAATTACTAAAAGAAGATATTTCTGCAATTACCATAATTGTGCAAGAAACAAATTAACGCACATAAAACATTACCAGTAGTATTAAAATGTTTTACCTCTTTTCCATAATCTCCAGTGTTAAATGCAAGAGCTCCCTTTTACTCTTTTCTCTTCTTTTTATCATCTCTAGAATAGTGACAGCTCGACTCAGATCTCGACGCAGCTTAAGCATTTTTTCATAAGAAGCTTCATCATTTTTGCGATTCTGCAGATATAAAGTTGCTTATTTAATATGAATAAGCACTTCTAAGTAGCGGTGCTATGAGCAGAGTTATACTGAAAGAAAGCATGTTATCATCAGGGAATCAAATTTCATGTGATTTTTAAAAAGTAGATTATCATTAAAATATATCATTACTAGCTCCATAATAAATTTGAAGGTCAGCTTAAATTAGTATTTTCCCTTCTAATTGTAAAGAAAGCCTTTTTACAACATAAATAAAAGAATTGCTATGACTGTAATTGCTGTAAATGACTTTTAAAATAGATACAAATTTTTAAATGCAAAGATTCACTTACTTTTCGAGTCTGCATTTTTTCAGTGCGCCTTCTAAAAGCCACATAAGGATCATTTGTGCTGGAACCATCTCGCTTCTCCTGTTTTACTGATGGAATAAGAGATGGCCCTCGGCAGGTTTTTCTCTTTTTAATCCAGTATTCGTAAACTTCTCTAATTAATTCATCATCTTCTTTTAGTAGCAGTTTGGCTTCCTGCAGACTGACTGGCTAAATGTAAAATATTATGTCATTTTCATATAACACTTATATAGGGATCAAGAGTATTCATGATCAAAACTGCAGCAGTGCCAACAAAAAACATACATGTCAGTAACTGAACTGGATGTTTCACACACAGTATTTAGTTCTCATAATAATCCTATGATGTTTATCATTTCTATTTTATATCTGGGGAAAGTGAAGCAGATAAATTTAAACATACTAAAGATTACACAAGTCATAAGAGGTAGTAGAGATGAGATGTGAATACCTGCTTTTTAACCCCAAAGCCTGCTGCCTTAGAGTCCCTCAATATTAGTTTCCATAAATACAAACATCTACACAGACACTTAATATACAGAAGCTGTACCTGCTGACCACTGCCTTTTTCCAGACGATCAATCATTTCCTCAAACTGCAATGGACAGATGTCCATTTTCTTTTTCAGTTTATTCACAAATACTTCATCTTCAGAATCCAAATCATAATCAGGCTGTTCAGCATCCAAACTAAAAGCTGACAGAAGAAACCATAAGCAATCATTTACTGTATGAATCCACTGATTTTAATAAAAACCTTTCACAGATGTCTGAATAAAAGCAAGACCTTTCTAAAGAAAGATTTATCGATTTTGTTTTCAGCCATAATCTAAGCTTATGGCTATGTCTTCCGCATTTAAAGTTAAAAGAAAAACTCTTTATTACGAATACAAATAAAACTATTAAAGACAACGGAGGGGGCCCCAAAGGCAAACAAAGTAGAAGCATATTACTAAGATCATAGAGAGGTTAACCAAGGTACTGGACCAGGTGAACAAGCAGACGTGCTTAAAACTCAGGTATCTGCAACTTCACAATAGCTACTGCTCAGTGAGTGGATTCCTGGCAAGATTTGTTTTATAACCATGAGAATCACTATCATGGTAAAGGTTTACTTCTTAAATCTGTTAAGAACCACTGTTCTATACTCTTATTTTCTAATGCCAGGCAATTATTTATCAAATTAAGCTACACTGATATTGATTTAAAAAGCAAAATATCAAATAGTTTAGTATCAAACCTTGTCTCCTACCTTTCCCTTGGTTTAATTCTTTCTACTAAACCTGGCGAGAAAATGCTTATGGTATTTGGTTTTCTTGTACCTAGTCCAAGTGTCATCAAGTATTGTATGATCCAGTAAAATCACATCTCGTATTATTTCACATAGCATGTCATTTCATGGTTTCAGGTCTTTACATTAGCTATTTTCTACCTGCCCATTCAATCAGCAAATGCCTATTTAATCTTTCTAAGACCTACCTGAGATATCTTCTCTGGAATCCTTTCTTGACTGTCTCTCTGAACCCTCTCCCCACAAAATCTGGTGTGTAAACAGTCAGCTTTTACATAAATAACATACAACCCAAACATGATACCTAAAAGTTTGTAGTACAAAGGTTTTAAAACCCTGTTCTAGATCACTTTTTCTTCCATAGCATTTTTTGCACATACTTCATAATCTACTTGTGAAGAATGTCTCCTAAAATGTGACTGATATCCTTGAGGGGAGGCCTACGTCTTAGTTTTCTCTGCATCTCCAAGTGGAGAAAGGATGACACTGTTTGCTCTCCATGTCACTTCTGCTTGGTACTCAAATGAAAATTATTCTAATGCTATGCATGGTTACATAGATGGGGGAAAATAAATGGGAAAAAAAACCAACCAACCAGTCACGCATTACTGAAGTCTGTAACAGGTGACTGGAAAGTGGCTGCAAATAACTGCCAAGCCTAGCCTAATGTAGCAAAAGCCCTAGAGGAAGAATCCCATAAATATCTGTAGAATTAAATGTGTGATTTCATTGTTTTATTTTCCATTTTCGCCTGCGGCAATTCCATAACATTCCTAATTAAAACAAATGAATATTCAGACCTTATAATAAAAATCACTAGGCATTAGCATCTCTACCCACGTTACTTGCAACAAGGGGCCCTCCAATGACTTTTCATGATTTCACTTTGTATGTCACTGTTACATGAACAGGCCTTTGGAGATCCTGAAATGGATCAAAACTATTAGATTCAAACACTTGCTTGTTTTTGTTCCTAGCCAAATGAATCCAAGCTATCTGTGCTGCCCAATGCAGTACAACGTGCCCATATGTGGCTACTTAAATTTTGTTTAATAAAAATTTAAATTCAGTCTCTCAACTGAGTGTGGTGGTGCACACCTATAGTTTCAGCACTCTGGGAAGCTGAGGTAGGTCAAATTTAGCCACCTAGCAAGACCCTGTGTATCAAAACAAAAAGTGAAAGAGCTGGGGATATAATCATTGCAAAGGCCCTGCCTGGACTCAATCCCTACTACCACCAAAATAAAACAGAACAGAAATTCACTCTCTGAAGTCACATTAGCTACACTGCAAATGCTAAATACCTATATGTGGCTAGTACTGTACCAGACAGCACAGATTACAGAATATTTCCATTATTACAGAAAGTTCTATTAGAACTAATACAGATAATCCAAAAAGCCAAACCAAAAGGGACAATCAATATTTTCCTCTTTTTTTTGGTTTTTTGAGACAGGGTCTCACTATGTAGTTGAGAAATGACCTGGAATTAATATCTTCCTTTCCTAAGCTTCTATTTTATATATTTTAGGAATTCACTTATATAGTACATTTTGACATTCTCCACTATGAAATTTAATTTTAGATCACATGTCAAACCGCAATCGCAAGATTAGTCATAAAAACTGAACAACCTTAATAAGTTACTTAAGTTATCCTTTATTTTTCCATCAAAATACACTTAAACACAGTTCTGGTATACATGATATCACCAATGATACAAACCAGATCCAACCTATGAAGGAACTGAATCAAGACTGGGAAGGAAGATTCTTATTCTAGGAATCAAGAAGCTCAATTTCTTTCCCACTAAAGTTAACAAGGATCTGACAAAGTCCTCTAGTCTCTGCAAGAGGAGTTTCATTCTGTCTGTACAAACACATCCAGAATCTTAAATATCAGGATATTTGTTCAGATATAGAACATTAAAACCCTAGAACAATGCTAATATATAAAAACCTACTTAGGATTTCATCTAACCAAAGAACTGCAGCCAATGATTTTAATATAATTTAGCATCAGATGAACCTGTGGCTTCCAACTGACAGCTCCATCAAGGCTGATAAAGATGCAACAATATTTATCACAGTCCTCGAATTAAGAGTTCTGCTTCAGATTTTTGGGTCCTATTAGCGAATATGTTTCAAAGTAGAAAACAGTCTAACAACAACAGCAACACCACCACCATCACCACAAACAAAACAAAACAAAACAAAACAAAAAGATCACCTCTTCTAATTAAGTTGTCAATTAAAATTAGACCCAGCTAGTCCATTACTGTAAAAGGCAAAGGCATTAGAAATGTTCCACACAGGATACTAAAAAGACAGCTACTAAAAGTAACCCTGGATCCCAGACTGACCTGGTGATAGAAGGGAGATAGACTATAAAATTTACATAGCACACACTGACAATTCTTATATAGTTTTATCTCGATCCTAATTGTAAAAATGATTTTCGACTCTAATATTCTTTCCACATTATATCACTCAGCTCTCAGCATTCTCCTGCAGGCACGAGATGGCTCTTCTTGCCTATTTATCTACCCTATTGCCAGTATGCATCTATGGAGTTCTATTTCTTCAGTGGCTCATAATTTACTGCTGTACTTATTTTATTACTCAAATTGATTCAGAACCAGCTGGGAAAAGTCCCTGTGTCTTGGTGATGTGCCTCCCCCTCTTTTTCCTTTTTCATTGAGTTTATTGGTACATTTTAGGGATACAGTACAGTTACATTCATTGTTGGGATCTTGTACCTCTACATGACAGGTCTTGGTTCTCATTTTTTCCCCTTGTTCCTGGCCCTCCCTTCACTCCTCCTCCCCTCCCCATTTACAACCACTTTATTTCCATCTTTTCACTTTCTCCCATTTTTTCTTTTCCCTTATTACCCTTCCCTACCCATCCCACCTTCCCTACACCTTTAGCCCTTTTCTTCCCATTTCACAATGACAGTCATCTCATTAGGATCTGGCATTAGAAGGTCTTCCAGGGTCATCTTGTATCTTCCTTACACCTCAGTTCTGGACCAGTCATTTTTCCAAGGGTTCTTGTTTTTATTTAGAAGGGAATGGATTAGAAAACAGGTCCTACGTGTATTTACTCCTACTAAATATACCCGCTCTTTGACCCTTCAGAAGACAGAACTTTAAAAACCCTGTCTCTATCCATCCACACACATACGCATACGAATACCTATGTATCTACCCATCCACACATATGCATATAAAACATACATCCTTGATTGACCCTCCTTTGAAAAAGGTTTCCCTGAAACCCAAGTGCAAGGATTGGAGAGAAACAAAAGAATTGTTCCTGACTATTCTGGGAAGAAGTGTTTTATCCTAAAAAGGAAACAATCCTAGTAATTATTTAGAAGCCTTGCAGATTATCATTCAAAAGATAAACAACATGAAGATCCTTTGGCTCACTTGATAATAAACTTGGGCACTCAGTGAAATGATTCAGAAGGCACCTAAATCTGAAATTAAAGGGGATGGTGGCTTTAAAACTGCTTTTTGTCCCCTGCAGAAACCTAGGAGAAATTTTTATTTCTTTCCTAAGCCAAGTGAAGACAGGAATAGTGGTCCAAGCTAATGTTTGATGAAATGTTAATAGATAACATTTAATGAATAAATTTGGAAAATGGGTTAAAGTAAGTTAAATATTTAATATATGGCTAATAGAGCCTATAAACACAGTAGTATGCATTATGACTCTAGGGGTGGGGAGGGGAATATAATAAGCAAATTCTCAAACATATTTGATATTCTTTTCCAGGGAATACTAATCATTAATTTAAAAACTCCAAATTGCTGAGTGGGGTGGTGCACGCCTGTAATCCCAGCACTCAGGAGGCTGAGGCAGGAGGATCACTGAGAGTTTGAGACCAGCCTGGGCTACATAGTGAGTTCCAGGTCAGTCCTGACTACATAGTAAGACCCTGTCTCAAAAAACAAAACAAAACAAAACAAAAAAATAAATAAAAACTCCAAGTTGCTGGGGATTTAGCTCAGTGGTGCCACTTCCTGCTATCAAGAGCAAGATCCAGAGTTAGAGACCCAATACCAAACAAACAACCAAAAACCACCAAGTGAAACGTTTGTATAACATTAAGAATTTTAAACTGGAAATTATGGAAATTGAAATGAGCCAGTTCATTTGTTCAATCATTTCATGTGTTTATGAAATTCCTGAAGAAATACATATATATGCTGTAAGTGTTCCTAAGAATTACACAAAGACATATGCAACTACAGTGTTTCTACACAATTCAAGGCAATGTACCCTTCATAAGCAACTTATTGGATCACCCAGCAGTCAAGATCCAATTTTATCTTTGATAATTTACACTACTGTTAGCTTTCCCTCATTTGTTACATAGAAGCCAATACCAATTTTAATCAATTTTACATATTTATTGTAAAAAAGAGATGAGGGAACACTTCCCCACTTATTTTACGATATCATATTACTGATACCCAAACCAGACATGATAGATGATCATGAGAGATGTTACTAACATCTTTTATGAAATCTTAAAATTCTGTTCAACACTCTAATTTATTTATATAGATATAGGTATAGATATAGATAATAGTGAGATATATTCCAAGTATACAAAGCTGGTTCACTATCTAGAAATCAATCACTGTAACCTATCATATTAACATAGTGAAGAAGAAAAAAGTACAGGATACCAACTGTTGCAGAATGAGCTTGACAAAATTCGACACCTTTTCATGAAAAAATTTTCAGTGCATTAGGACTAGAGTGGAACTTTAAAAATATTATGATTAGAAACATCCTAAAATCTACAGCTAACATTATACTTAGTAATACAAAACTGAATTCTTCTCTAAGATTAGGAACAAAGCAAAAAACGTTAGCTTCTCGTTACTCTTACTTTAACACAGTACTAATGTTTCAGACTCTATCATAAGGCCAAAAAAAAAAAAAAAAAAAAAAACATTAAAATAAAAAAAAAAAAAAAAAAAAAAAAAACATTAAAAGGCCTCCAAATTAGGAAAAACTGGATTTACAAACTACAGCATGATTTTCTAACAAAACTCTCAATAGAATCTATAAATGCTGGAGAGAAGTTCAAATACTTCCCCAAACTGTTTAGTCATTGTTTTAGAAATATTTCAATATATACAGTAATTTGTTTCATTTAGTCATAGTAAGTTTATACTTACTTATACCGAGTTTATACTTAGTTATATGAAGTTTATCTTAGTTAACTGAAAATGAAATTTGTATGGTTTTGTTTTCATGGTTTATGTTTTACACTACTTTGAAGGTGATGACAGAGTGTAATAACTATTGTTATTCTCTTATTTGGTTATGAAGATTTTTTTTCATAAAATAAAAAGAATCTCCAAATGTTTCTTAGACTGATACAGAAACACACATGCACACACACACACCCCTCCCTGGCATGCCCTCCAAACTCAATAGTAAAACAAATACGTTAGAAAATGTGCAAAAGATAAGCATGAATATTTTACTAAAGACTACGAAAAACTGTTAACTCCAAATGCAGAGGAGGATATAGACAGTGCATTACACATACACAGCTGGTGATAACATAGTGATAATCAGCAAACAGTGTGGCAGTTACTGTCCAAATTATAGATGGACGACTCAGCAAATATATTCAAGTGTACTGATGCCAGGGAAATAAAAACTTCTGTTCACATAACTTGTATATGAATCTTCATAATGTTTGTTTTTAATTGTCTTAAAACTAGAAGCTACCCAAATGTCTTCCAAAAACTGGCGCATACACATCAGAATACTACATAGCAACAAAAATGAAAATATTATCGATACACATAAGGAAAAACCTCAAGGACATTAGGCTGTGAAAAACAGCCAATGTGGAAAGGACACATACTACACAATTCTACTCATGTAACACTGTGAACCGATATAACTACAGATGGAGAACAGGTTAGTGTTACAAGTCGTTAGGGATGGGGCAGAGGTGGACGGGCTATAAAGGGGTGACAAGGAGTCTTCAGGTGATGGTACAGCTAAGTATCTTCCTTCTGGTAGTCAGAAGAGCTACACATATGAAAAATGTGCACAGAAATGCAACTATTGAATATATATTTGTATAACTTGTATAACTATTGTATAACTTGTATAATTATTGAAATCTGAATAAACTTTATGGATTGAGTAGCCCAATGTCAGTTTCTTGATCTTGAAACTGAATTATAGTTGTGCATGAGGTTAATACTGGAAGAGGTTGGAGGAAATGTGAAGATCACTGTACAATTTGTTTTGCAACCTCCTATGAATCTATGTCACAAATTTAGTTGCATTGTCTTTACTAATACTCTAAAATGTACACATCTTCCTAAAGACAAGATACTTCAAATTTTTCCTCCCAAATAAATAACACTGCTGTCACTTTATTACTATGATTTGATTACATCAGTAGTTAATTCCTTTTTCAGTATACTACACTTTTTGACTTTCTAGACATCTAACTCACCCAGTTAGTAAAATGTGTATTGTAGTAGACTATGTCTTCAAAGAAATGCAAATTTTCTTCTAACAGTAATGATAATGTAAACGATGAATGTACATCTTTCCTACTCAATCTAGCTTTAACTTAAAAGCTGCATTTATAAGATAATATAGCTAGTCAGGATACAAAAATCAACTGTGTTCATGTATACCAACAATGAACCTATGAAAGGAGAAATCAGGAAAACAATGCCATTCACAATAGCTGAAAAAAAAAATTTAATATGTAGAAATGAACCTAACCAAGAAGGAGAAATACTACTACAATGAAAATTATAGAATTCTTAAGAAAAAATTGAAGAAAACCAAAAGATATCCTTTGATCTTGGATCAACAGAAATAATATATCATAAAAATAGAAACAAAGTCTTTGTAAATAGGGAAGGGTAGAGGGGATGAAGGGAGGGCAGGGAAATGGGGAAAAAACAAGCACCAAGATACATATGCAAAGGTACAAGATCCCAATGATGAATATAACTACACTGTATACCTAGAATGTATAACTTAATGGGGGGGGTGGCCATATTACCAAAAGTGATCTAAATCTGGAAACACCCCTAGAAAAGCCTCTTGTTCATAATGCCTACAGGGACAACAATGAAAGCTAGAGTAATTTGACTTTAGTAACCCCTCAACTGTTTTCAAGTTATTACCTACTTGAGGACTGGGTGAATGAAGAGGTAATAGTACAGTTATATATAGTAAGTCTATAGCCTTCACTTGTTCATCACTAAATACGGTAGCTATGAAAGGATCATGTTGCCAGAAGTGGTGGTGCACACTTGTAATCCCAGCACTTGGGAGGTTGAAGCAGGAGGATCACCCCAAGTTCGAGGCCAGCCTGGAACCCAAAGTGAGTTCCAAGGCCAGCCTGGGCTACATACCCTGTCTCACCAAAAAAAAAAAAAACTCTAATGAAGCACCTATCTACTAAATTAGAACACTAAAACTTGGTTAAAACTAGCAACTCATTCTATTAGTAGAAACAGAGTGGGAGTTTGGCAAACTATGACTCATTGGCCAAACTCTGGCTCATTATGTTTTTGGCATAAAATTTTACTCAACCACAGCTACGTCTATTTCTACATATATTCTCTATACCTGCTTTTGCCCTACAACAGCAGAGAAAAATAGTTGTGACAAAGACTGAGCTACATCTCTAGTACTTTTTTCTCCCTTGGATCCTTCTGCCTCAGCCTCTCCAGGTACATTGCTATGTACATCCAATTCAGGCTGCCAAAACATATTTAAGAATGCTAATATTATTAATTCTGAACAGGAAGGAAACTATTCTGAGGCATATTCCTTTTTTCCCCCCACGGTACTGGGGATTAAACTCAGAACCCTGTGCTTGTGAGGCAGACGGTGGCACCACTGAGCTAAATCCCTGGCAGAGGCATATTCTTTATCCTACTTGTCTAAAGCAGTAAAAGATCCTATGCTAGAATGAAATAAAAAATCTATCATGGTAAGTGCTTCTTTGCCAGGAATCAATAAAAGGTATCTTAAAAATCATTTTAAAACTGAGAAATGATCTAGACACATTAGAAGAGCTATAAATATTGAACAAATAAAAAAAGCAGAAAATGGGCTCTAATAACTTTCAAGCGATGTTGATTAATGAGAAAGGTACCGAGTTACATAAAAAGATAAATATAGAAAGTAAAATCATTAAAAGAACAATTACTTACGCTGTATGTGAATGAGCTGCTTTGGCATCTTAAATTCCCCAGGATATATAGATTCATAGTAAGCAATATTACTTTCTGCCTCTGGGACTGGTATAACCATATTATCCCTCTTCTCTCCATATACCTGCTGTGCTGAAATAGCCCGCTGAAGATGATGTTCCTAGAGAGAAGGGAAAATATGTAAGCTTATCTTAAAAGCAGTATACAGAATACATATCCTTACAAACAGGAATTTGCTGATTTGTTTAAAACGGATTTTAGTAGCAAGTCTTGAAAGCAGGCTGTTAACAATTCAACTAGTAATAAAAATGTTTTAGGTAAGCTGGGTGAGGTGACACATACCTGTAATCCCAGTACTGGGAGGCTGAGGGAAGAGGACTGCTCTGAGTTTGAGGCCTGCCTGGGCTACATAGCAAGACCATGTCTCAAATAACCTATATACATATGTGTGTGTGTGTATTATATGTGTGTATGTAACTTTTAAGTAGAAATGAGATTGTTAGAATTACTGAATATTTCCTCAAATTTTTAACCTTTCTTTAAAGGTTAAAAATTGAGTTATATAAATATATCCAAAATAGTTAACTAAAACTGTTAAAGCTTGCATTTTACAGATAATACCTGAAGAAAGTTAAAACACCTGAATTTATTATATGATATGAAGAAGGCTATGGGTAAAAATACATTTTACTGATTCAAATCTCCTACCCATACAGTGCTTTATAAATTTAGAAGCAAGTCTTTCAGACAAAGAGATTATTACCTTCTCCATTTTTATTTTATGAAATTGACAGACTGAAACCTGGGGGGATCAAATCTATGGTGCTTTACCAATGAACTACATCCCCAGCCCACTTTACTTCTGAGACAGGGTCTAGCTAAAATGCCCAGGTGGGACTCTAACTTGTAATCCTCTGCCTCAGCCTCCTTCAGTGCCGGGATCATAGGTGTGTGACTCCGCACCCAGCTAGTAACAATCCATCTTAGGAATTCCCAGAGCCCTTTCTAGACAGAAGAAGAGTGAGTACAGGAACTAAAAGTACATGCTGTAGACTCAGACTGTCTGAACAAGAACTCAACTGAATACTGAAACAGTTTGTGGCTCCTGGCAAGAAACTTTAGTCTTCTAAATTGGGTTTTGCCAGTAAAACGAGAATCTACAAAGTTGTTGGAGATTTAAGATAGATGTAAAATGTTTAGCAAAACAGGCACACAAAATAAAGTTTAGTTACCACCCAGACACTCAGAAAGTATGTATTAAGTAAATAATTAAGTTAAAAAAGACTAATTTAAAAATTTTGTTTGAGATATTTTAATAATAATTTATTATTTTGGTACCGAGGATTGAACCAGGTACCATCACACTAAGCCACATCCCCAGTGTTTTTTCTTGTTTTTATTTGGAGAGAGGGCCTTGCTGAATCACTAAATTGTCTAGGCTGGACTGGAACTTTCAGTCTTTCTGCCTTGGCCTCCCAGAATGCTAGGATTACTAGCCTGTGCCACCATGCCCGGCATTTTTTTTTAAATAAAAAGACACAATTGAGCATATCCATATGTAGAAAAAGTCTAAAAGTAAACATGTCAGTCTTCCCTGTGCGTCTTTACCCGCTTCGCCTCACATATCTTCTGACAGGCAGACCGTTTACCACTGTCACCTGTGCTCTCACCTCCGAGCCAAGCATTTCCACAACAGAGGCTTTTGTCTATTTTGTTGATTATTCTATCTCCACCCTGAAAAAGTACTGGGCACAAATTATGGTGCCAAAAGATATGTGTCACACACACACACACACACAAAACGTCAAAGTATACACACCCCAAAGTTAACAGTTTACCTCAGGGTGGCACAAGTTTAAAACTTTCACACTTTTTCATATTTCCTAAGATCTACTTGTAATAACTTTACACAAAAAAGCTGGAGTACATTTCACTAAATGATTTTATAGAACTGGTAATTTCTAAAGGATATTTTTGATTCAGTAAAACCTTTATTATAATTATGGCTGTTAAAAACGTTTTTAAAACCAAGCTTTATACATTTACTGTATATCCATGAAGCAACACTGAATTGTAAGTAAAAAGGGATTATTTTTGCCTTGAGCAAGAAAATGTAGAATGGTAAAGCCAAGCAACAAACCTCTACTCTATCCCAGGTTGGCCTCACTGGGGTGATGCCCCTGCCGCAGCCTCCAGAGTGCTGGGATAACAGGTGTGCACGCCCAGCTACACAGCTTTCCGATTCCTTCCTCCTACCTTTGCCTACTCTTCACTACCGAGTGATCCCGTTTATGTACAAGTCAGGTGGTGTCATTTGTCAAAATCTCCCAATTACTGCACATCTCAGAATAAAAACCAAAGTTTTAAAACTGCTTACTAGGTTCAACATGATGTGCATTTCTCTTTCCTTTGTTACCCGTTTTGCTGTTTTCTCTTCACTCATTCTGCTCCAGACAAACCAGAGTCTTTGCTGTTTGTCCTAGTTACAAATAGCTTCTTCACCTCCTTCAATTTTTGTTCTAAAGCCATCCTCTCACATCATTCTTTACCAGCACTCCCAAGATATACTCACAAGCATAGCTAAAAACAAAAAGGCTATCATCGTTAAGTGATGGTAAATATTTAGAAGGAGAACTCACACAATGTCAGCGAGGAAAAGGTGTGGCAGGTTTTATAAAGCCAAACACAGAATCCATATGGCTCCACAATTCTACTCCTAAGTATTTACCCAAGAGAAATGAAAACACAAGGCCACAAAAAGACCCGAGTGAGAATGGCTAACCTTATTAAAAACAGCCTCAACTGGACACACACCAACGTCCATCAACAGGTTAGACCAACAAACTGTGGTGCTGTCACGGAATGCAATGCCACTCACCCAGAAAAAGGAAAAACTACGTATCCAAGCACATTTCAAAACCACTCCAGTGTGAACAAGACTATACACTTGCATCATTTATGCAAAGTTCTGAAACATGCAAAATTAATGTATAGTGGAAAAACTCACAGCAGTATGTAGTTGCCCACGGAGAGTAGGACACGGACTGACTAGGAAGGGAAATGAGGGAGTTTTCTGGGTGACAGTAATGTTCTGTACCTTGATGAGAGGCTGGGCTACGTAAACATATGAATTTGTTAAAATTCAGCTAATGTGCATTTTGTGAATTTCACTGCAGGTCAATTTTAACTAAAAAAGGGAAAAAAGTATTAAACTCTACTTAATGATATACATACTGAAGTAATTAGGAAAACATGCACTAATGTTTATAATTTACTTTGAAATGCACTTAAGATGAATAGACGGAAAAGTGGACAGATGGGTGAATACAAGCAAATGAAACACTGACAGCAGAGTCTAGCTACTGTTGTGTTATAGGCGGGCAGCCACGATAAAACTGCTGAAACTGCACTAAATGTATGAAAATTTTTATAATAAAATCTTGCTAAAAAAGGAGTATCTTATCTCTTAACCCTGGAAAACTGTTCCTCCAGCATGTGTTTATTATTGCTCTATTTATTGTCAGTTTCCTCTCATTAGAATATAAGACCCATAAAGGCAGACGCTTGACTTTTTGCACTGCTTTATCCCAAGTACAGAGCTGACACAGCCACAGCTTGCTAGACAGGAGCTAAAAAGAACGGCTGCTGAGCTCAGGGAGGAAATTCTGCAGCAGACAGTGGTCTAAACTCATTGAGAGGCAGCCTCTCAACTTTCCCAGAAGAGCTTTGAGGTCCTACAAAGTAACAGTGAGCCCCGTGCTGACCCTGCCCGACCCGACAGGCCTCATTTAGTGCTCCTGCACTGTGGTTTTGATCCCCCCCTCCATGGACCTAGACTGCAGGGCCTGCTTTCACTAGTACCACTTCAGTTCAAAACTCCACCTGCTGGGAGGGCGGAGTCTACAGCTGACTGGAAGGGGTCCCCACAGCCACAAGCCCAGGCCACTCCTCATATTCTAGGGTTACCACTTCCAGCTCTGCCTGTTTAGAACTCTCCCAAGTGTTCTAATCTCTTCAATAAAAAAGTCAGCCTAAGAGTATATTTTAATTTGCATACAATAAAGAGCATGCTGAAAACTCTACTTTCTGACAGAGCCACATTCTGAGCTCTTTGCCTATCTTCTCAGAAAGGACTCAACAGCCGAGACCATAACACAGCATAAACATTAACCTGGTCCAGACTGAGCTTAAAATCTGGGAACAATCTTGCCTCACACGCAGCATCCTTTTAACATTTGCTGAGTAAGTGGGCCAAGTAACTGCATTAGTTATTATAAGGTCCCTTAGAAAAGACTTCAACTGGCTGTGGTGGCACATGCCTGTAATTCCAGAATTCCAGGCTGAGGCAGGATGGCCATGAGACTGAAGATAGCTGGGGACACATACAACGAATTCAAGGCTAGCCTGAACTACAAAGCAAGACCATTAACAAATAATCACCAAACCAAAACAAAAAGACCATAAAAACTGTTAGCTGAGCATGGTGTGGTAGATGCCTGTAATCCAAACTACCTGGGAGCAGAGGAAAGAGGATCACAGTTTTCTGTCCAGCCTAGGCAACTTAGAGAGACCTTGACTCAAAATAAATTTGAAAAAGGGCTGGGACAATAGATTAGCAGTATACTATTTGCCTAGCCAGGACCTGAGTTCAATTCCCAGAACTGGAAAAAGAAAATAGGAAAATTAAACACTCCTTACTTCACATTTAACATATTCATGGCAAGAAAAAGCAATTTAATATTGTTTCCACAAAAAATAGATGGTAAAAAGACTAGGACTATCTGTCCTCCCACTTAAAGCACAGTATTGTGTAATTATTCATTTTTACAATATGAAACAGTATGAAGACCTTTGCTAAGGTATAGGTAAAGTAAGTTTTCTTATCTCAATTCAGTGTAAAAATATTTGCCAACTTACTACAGAAATGGCACACTGGGTGGGGTCGTTTTCATGCACTGTCAGCATTTTTAGCTGAGAAGGGAAATTTTACTTTCATCACTGAAGTACATAACTAATAGAGGAAGGATGCTCTTATTCATTACCAAGAGCCGGACAATCGACGGACAGCTCCAGGTAGCCCATCTCTTGCTTGTCCACTGACCAATATGGAGCTAAAATGGGGCAGGAACAGCTCTGTTTGAGACTTGCAGAGTAAGCAGT